GGCGTACGTGGTGTGCAACCCTAATTGACAATCCACATTTATCAGACTCTTTGGGAGTGTACTAATGAGAAGACAGGGACGTCCGAAATAAATCGTCCATTCGCCTATTTCAACACGATGTCCTAAAACATTTGGAAATGCTCCACTCAGGTTTCTCAAAATCCATGGGAAGCAGCATACATACCGTTCTTTCGACGAAGTGGTTGGCAATGCAAGCTGACATTTATGAAGCGGTATAGCCGGTTTCCGCCCCTGCAAACTCTCAGCGAAGAACACTGCATGAAGTCTTGTTACACCGAATAGAACCCAGTGTGATTTTTAAGTTCGACTGGTCATTTACGATAGACGAGGGAAATGGTTAAATAATAAAAACCGGACACCCATTTGATACTTGCCGCTTGTGATACCCGAAATCTGGTTAAGTCTCGCGGCATATCGACAAAAACTTGAATCCTCCTTTTCCCTGAATGCAAAGGAGTCCGGGCAGTTCTCCAAAGGAACCGTGTTCTTCCTGAAATGAGGAATAATGTGCTGTCCAATTCTCTATTCAGTTTACCCTCAAAATCAATAATGAACTAAAAAGATTCAGAAGCTGACGTTCCCGTCGTTTACGCCTCTTCACCAATTCTGATTTTAGCTCTTGATTCGAGTCGACAGCGAGGATAACGCCAGTTGTCTGACTCTGTTTCGGCTCTATCGCACAGGTATACCATTCCAATAAACGGATGAGCTGTAAAGAAGTCAGATAAAACTTGACAAAGCCAACACAATGCTGCACATGCGTGTACTACACGAGTAGACCCTTCCAAGTGGCCTATCTTTAAAAGTTTTGGATGATGAACTTTATTCGAATTAGATATTAGGTTTATATGTGTATATATATACGTATTTATGTACTTATGACATAATAACGTGGAACTAAATGTTGTAAGTAGCGGATAAACAGTTAAGTCTCGTGGAATCGGTAAAATCGATGGATCTTTATTTTTACCAGCCCCCCCCCGCCACTAATGCAAAATGTTCGTGCCCGAAAGTTAAGCCAACACCAATTTATTGTACGCACACACCTATTTTTGATGAAAACAATTCCTTATCCGCATCTAGGCTCATTTTATGCAAAAATTTTCTCCGTTCGGACGTGAAACCTCAAATGAACTTTCTGACGCTTTGAACTCTCGTTCATGATAAGGAGACGGCAATACGTTTTTTGCAAAGCCACGGAGTGATCCATCAGCAACGTTTATGCAACAATGGCCACCAGATGACACTTTCAACTGTTTCTGTCAGGCTGGGGTGTAATGTCAGACAGTGTCGGGAAGAAATCGGTCTTCGAAAGGGAACTTGGCTGGAGCGGTCCAGGATGGAGTTTAGGTCAACAATTCTATTCATTTATTGCTGGCCCAAAAATTAGGCAAGAATTAAATTCTGCTCAGAGGAATTATCTAATAGCCATCGCTGTTGACTGAAAGAACTTTCTTCGAGAAGTTTTCGCCTGGCGACTTTTGCAGACTCCAACGGTTAATCATACCGAAAACTTTGTGGATCCAACGACTGAAGCTCACGTACAAACCATCAAATCTCCGTGGCACGTCTACAAGATGCAGAATAAACGCCAATGCGGCACACACTGATCTTTAGTGGGCAGCTACTTGTGTGAATTTGTTTGGAGGAAAATGTACCGAAAAACGGACCTTTCATGCAAATTATTAATGACATGTCCCAATTTCACTCTCTTCAATAAAAACTAAAATTACAATTTTCATATCCCCTTTTTTCTTATCCTTTTTGAGTGGCAGGGGTTAATGTTTTGGCGGGGTTTATCTGGAAAAGATCCAAATCAATCCGTTCAGATTTCCCAGAGGATCAAAATTGACGCGGACACAAAGTTTAGTTAACGTCCTTAATGGAGAACTTGACCAGCGTACATGGAGTTTGCCCTGCAAAGAAGCAAGAAAGGTAATCAACTTGCTCGAAGAATGACGTAACAAAATGTGTCAAAAGCCACCACTACTTTATTTTACCTTCATGGATTACTACTGCATGCATATGAACTCATCTTAATATGAATTTATACGACGTAAACTCAAGTTTCCCAGCTTCACTAATCGCAAATGAGAGTCTTTACATAGCCTGTTTCAGTGTCAACAAAGTATGATACACTAATTAATGGTCAATTAATTTTCATTAGTCTCAGAGGAAAAACTGTTTGGTAGGTATGCTGATTAGTAAGAATATTTTATGACTTCATTCAGCCACACTCGGTTGCCCACTTTCCCGCGGGTAGTTGAGAACAATGGTGAAAATGCGAAGAAAATAGCACTGATCAGTGCCAGGGTATTGGTAGAAACGACCACCGATGGCATGACATCAGTGTTCAACACCAACGCTTCGCCACTGTACAACCATGATTTATTTGTAAGACTTGATGTGAAGAAAAGAATAAAGGTGGTCTCAGTGCTAACTTACTACCGTTTTGGGGTGCCTACACCACCAAACACTCATTCAGGCAATCTGGATAGAACTGACAAACAAGAACGCCACTGACATCGGTTGACAGCCATAACTTGAAGTGTCTTCAACAAGGCGCAGTGAGGATCATGTGGTCCCCACCCTGGAAGGTGAGTAGCACCGACAGCACCCTAGCGTCTCGTAATCTCCTTCATACCCCTCTGCCAGGTCAAGGGATGTCCACCTCTGTGCTCCCGCCACTCTGAATTGGGGACGGAAAACAGGAATCACTTCGACAAACGATGGTTAGGCATACGCAATACATGTTCCAACCAACGCAGCTTCTGATGCTGAACTATAAAAACGATACTGTTTCATTACAAAGTTCAATTTTTTGGAGTGCAATTGTTTCAGTCGCATTAAGAGTGAAAACCATCAGATCTCTTAGAAAATTGGTCCATGTTGTTGATACTATCCTGCAGATGGACTCCAGAAAACCAGCAGTAATATCAGTTTCAAATAAAAGAGCGTCACCTAATTCATAAACATTAATTCTATCTCAGACAGCCACTTACATGAATATATACAGGGTATCCACGAAATAATAAACTAGATTCAGTGTCATAATTGATTGCTTTACTTTGATTTGTTGCAACCAGACTAGGTTGTGTACAACCTTAACAGGTTGCCATATCCACATTCACTCTGGCTTTCCGCGTCTATCAGAGAGGTAAACTGTGTTCCTGAAGGTACATGGTTAACCGCCACTCACACGCTGTTACACCTATCACCCGGTGTAACCTACAGCGTTTGGGGATATTCTTGCTCCTTGACGGATATTGGATCAAAATACCCGCTGAATTCCGTTTCGAAAACCAGGGCTTTGATTACCGTGAAAGAGATTTTCGAGCAAACTTCCCAGTACTGCTTTGAAGAACTGTATACGCTTACTATTTCATCACTAAAAGGGGCGACAACATGGTACCACTCATTTGCAGCACACTTTCCAACAGGAACTGAGGTCTTGTAAGACTCATGAGGCAAGTAGGACACCGACTAGCTAGTCTGATACCAGAGAAAAGGGAAGAGGCCCGTGGTGTTTACCAACTCGGCTTTATTTCCGGGATATCTTATTCTGGCCCGACTCAAGTTTTGAAACCCATACCGCATCATTTTTCCCGCTCAGATATTTCACATACCCCCACGACATAGAAATCCTTCCTCACACTACCACCATCAACAATGGATCCGATCTGTTTTAGAATAAGTCTGCTAATTTAATTTCCACATTGTAAATCAGAAAGAGGGTATAGAGTGTGGAAATCCTTAAACATTCAACCACATCCTTCTAAGGCCATAAACAGATGAACAATTCGAAACTACTACACGACAGTGTTTGACATACAACATATAAAAATGTTAAAGTAGATAGAATTTCCTACTGGACATTCATCAGCTTTGTTTTTCCTTTATGTTGTAGGCATGATGCTCAGAGTTGGTGTAAACCTGCACCCAATCTGCGCAATAATCACTCGTGAATGTTTTGAGTTGGTGACGAATTTCTCCTCTACTGCGATGCTCAGTTGACAGTGAAATGCAAAGGCGGTCTCAATGTCGAACGATGTCATAAATATCGAGCAATGCCTCTAATTGACTGCGTCGCTGGATTAGTCAGAGTTCGCCAGAAGCCTTCTCATAGCGCCATCTTGTTTGTTTAAGATTGTAGACCATTGTCGTTTGCATTGCTTCACGGCAAAAGAATACTGCCCCAAACAGAAGGATTACATAACTTTCTGGCAGTAGTTCGTACAGCGATTAACAGTGAGGAATGACCACAGTGTGTTCATTTACATTGTATGAAAATCAATGATCATGAGGAACAGTTCGTCATGTGAGTACTTTCCAAAAGCTTCCTTTTTTGCTGCTTGTTTGTTACCTACAAAAAAGCATTTGTTTGCGACGAGACTCAGTGGCAGCGGGAAACCGGGAGAATAGAAAATCAAGCTTGGTTCGCAAGAAGATTTCAAATTTATCTTCACTTGGACCACAACATTGGTTGTAGTTAATAAGTATGACAGCAATATGACCGCTTTTTTGGGATTCTTAACCTTATCTTTTGTCGGGATTCCTTATGCGCCACTGTGCTAGTCACAATGCTGGTTGGTCACAATGTTCTGTGCTCTGTAATTGTGGATGCACAGACCACTGGAAGACGCTTTCATTCACACCTGACCGGTCGATCGATTTTTCACACGCCAGTTTGCTGACTCAACTACTTTGTTATGTTGTAACTCTACGACAAGTGATCGGAGGCCAGTAGTATTAACTCAGTCAGTATGCAAAACACAAGGGTGTACACATACCCTGTTACTGTGTGCAATTTGTTGCAAAGACACACATACACGACAAATTCCATTTCCACTGGTGTTCCGTGCACTAGTCCACAGCAGGTGTGCACTCGTGAGTGTGTTGAATTCGCATTCGAATGATGCCACACCGTGTTGGCAGAGCTCCGGAGTAGCGTACTCGATATAAAACAGATAGGTTCGAAGGAATACAGGGATGTTACAACCGTTTATTGCTACAATAGCTGTTCTCCTGGGATTTTGCTATCAAAACGCGGTTAGTCAGTTGGACAGGAGCGTGCCAAGCTATCGGATTGTTCACATCGATGGTAAGTCCTGTCCTCAATAAACGATAAAAATGTTGAGTTTTCTACTTGGTGGGACACAAGTTGTCATCTTTATTTCTATCCTGACAGAGGTTATTTAGCGTGAACTATCTGGTTGAACTGTATCACCTCTGTAAAAAAGAATCGCCGAAATACCAACGTTTAAACCGAACACTTTTGACCACTCACTGCTGTTTGCAAACAACGAAAAAGAATGTGGTCTGTCTTTGCAAAACTAGGCACCTCTGACTGTTACTGTGTCAAACGCAATGTAAACATTTAATGGGTTCTTTTCAAATGTGTATGTTTTGGCCATCGGTTCGCACAAAAACAACTGAGCACAGTCACTTGGGACCTCTTAACGAGGACACAGCTAGATTTGAGTGCCGTTTTTCGTGGTAACTAACCAAGCAAAGTTACACCGAACCCGCCCCGTCGTTTACAAGTGAAGCTTGGCTGTTGTCCAACAAAACCAACACATTTCGGCAGTCGACTAGACGATCGACTACTCATCAAGCAATAGGTTTCTTATAGAGATTTGGTGGTGGGGATGCGTGTGTGAAGTTCTAATAAAGCCATCATGATGTAGTAATATAAGTGAAAAATAAAACTGCGTGTTGAGTCTGCTCAAAAACGCACGCCTTGCGAAATACAACCGGACGGTAAAAATTCTTTACCAGGATTCCAATTTTCGTGCTCAACTTTACCATCCGTCCTCAGTTTACTAAATCTGACTGCCATTCTGTTGTTCGAGAGAATAAGTGATGTTAACATATGCTCAGCTTGGGATTAACGAGATACAAACGTTTCTTTGGGGTCCTCTGTATCTTCAGCTATTGCTCTTTTTGCGCAGAAACGCAGTTAACGGCCGGTAGAGTACGTGTCCCGGTGAGGACCTCTGGCCTTTAATTTCGCTCTTCTATTTAGGCGCATCTTGAAAACTGTAATTGATGCTTTTGAAATTATTGCTAAGATATGACGGAGAAACAAAAACTGTCTGTTTGTGGTCTTAAGTATCCACTCAGGTAGATAGAATTAGCCCGCAACAATAGGGATGATAATCGCGTGGTTAGGTAAGCCGAATTACCAGCGTTTTTAACCTGTGGTTCCTCACTCTACAGGCCATTTTGCAATGAAGCACATTGTTGGGAATATCTTGGTAATCATCTACCGTTCAGGCCAAATGCATTCGCAGATGAGTCAGAACTCGTCTCTCATTGGTATTGATCCCGTCTATCTACAGAGAGTGCAGTCTCCGTTCCATACGGTAATTTATCTGTGAACGTATCTCAAAATGTCATTTTAGAAACAGCACTGTCGAAAAGAGACGCCGCGCTCGTGAAGACTGCTTTTGTGGTGGGGACTCACTCATGTCACATTGAAGGTATCGACGATGCTCACATTCAGTGATCAACTCCAAGAACATTGTCCACAAACTATCTCCCAACGTCGACTGGTTCTCTCCAGCTAGAATGAACTAGACTTGACCGATTGTTCGGCCTAGAGTGAGCAAGAAGCGCTGTTCACCAGGTCATTCCATACTTGTGATACAGATAGGACGTGAACTAACTGGACATCTTTTGGGCTTCGTAAACCTGCAAGTGTTTTGTTAACATCTCCGAATTAGATTTTCTGGTTACTTGGTCCCTATGCGGGCTGAACCGCGCAGTGTGATGGCCGCGGTTATAAGGACTGTTGATCACTCCACAATGTCAAACGAGTTGAGCGTGGAGAAGAAGAGAACAGAATATGTAACAACCTAAGAATTCATTCCAGACGAGCCAGAATATTCCACCGTGTACTTACAACAGCGGTTTACAACACCCTGCGACAACACAGTTTACATTATTCCGACTAGGGAAATGTGGAATAATTTCCGCATCAGTGGTTCACTCACCCTCTAGTCACTCTCGTCAGAGTGAATTTATTTCATCTCCATTGGACTGAACACAGTAAAAGATACTACAGTTTCACTGAAATACATTCATTTGCAAACAAATTTGATTTTGCGAGAGACTCACCTAGAACGCAGCTGAATCTCTTATTTGTGATGTTTCCAGGCAACTGAATGTGCAGCATCAGGCCGCGATATTCGAGATATCGCGATACATGTATATATGTAATGCGCTACTCATAAAGTTGCTGAAAATTCTTCCACAGGCCACGACCGGTTTCGCCCTTTTTGGAACCCAGCAGGTAGGCGCAGTCCCCGATGTTGACGTAAACTCAGGGACTGCACCGACCTGATGAGCCACATGAATGACGAAACCGGCCGTGGGCTGTCGAAGAATTCTCAGCAACCTTATGAGTGGTGAATTACGTACACTACGGTTTCATTTCCAATATCGAAGCTACAGGGAACAAGTGGACTGATGTGACAAGCATACTATGGCACACATATCAAAACTGAAATAAAAATTGAAGCATTCTTATGCGTCACATAATCGCCCCGTTTCATCGGACTCTATGCTGGACAAGCTTATTGTAAAATGCATTCATTATTGGCTACTAGAATGAACATTCGTCAATCCACTTCTTTTTCGAACGACTTGTGTTGCATCAGTATTGCTGAGGGGCGTTCATTTTCCTCTCTAGATTTGGTGAGTAATCCGACGACTGGTAAAGAACACAAACGTTTCGGAAGCATTGAAGATGATAGCGAATTTACACAGTTCGCTGTCCACTGAACCGCGCAGTGTGATGGCCGCGGTTATAAGGACTGTTGATCACTCCACAATGTCAAACGAGTTGAGCGTGGAGAAGAAGAGAACAGAATATGTAACAACCTAAGAATTCATTCCAGACGAGCCAGAATATTCCACCGTGTACTTACAACAGCGGTTTACAACACCCTGCGACAACACAGTTTACATTATTCCGACTAGGGAAATGTGGAATAATTTCCGCATCAGTGGTTCACTCACCCTCTAGTCACTCTCGTCAGAGTGAATTTATTTCATCTCCATTGGACTGAACACAGTAAAAGATACTACAGTTTCACTGAAATACATTCATTTGCAAACAAATTTGATTTTGCGAGAGACTCACCTAGAACGCAGCTGAATCTTTGTGATGTGATGTTTCCAGGCAACTGAATGTGCAGCATCAGGCCGCGATATTCGAGATATCGCGATACATGTATATATGTAATGCGCTACTCATAAAGTTGCTGAAAATTCTTCCACAGGCCACGACCGGTTTCGCCCTTTTTGGAACCCAGCAGGTAGGCGCAGTCCCCGATGTTGACGTAAACTCAGGGACTGCACCGACCTGATGAGCCACATGAATGACGAAACCGGCCGTGGGCTGTCGAAGAATTCTCAGCAACCTTATGAGTGGTGAATTACGTACACTACGGTTTCATTTCCAATATCGAAGCTACAGGGAACAAGTGGACTGATGTGACAAGCATACTATGGCACACATATCAAAACTGAAATAAAAATTGAAGCATTCTTATGCGTCACATAATCGCCCCGTTTCATCGGACTCTATGCTGGACAAGCTTATTGTAAAATGCATTCATTATTGGCTACTAGAATGAACATTCGTCAATCCACTTCTTTTTCGAACGACTTGTGTTGCATCAGTATTGCTGAGGGGCGTTCATTTTCCTCTCTAGATTTGGTGAGTAATCCGACGACTGGTAAAGAACACAAACGTTTCGGAAGCATTGAAGATGATAGCGAATTTACACAGTTCGCTGTCCATTTTGAAAGGGACAGTATATTCCTGGGATCCAAGTAAGTAGTAGTGAAACGTTGGTTGAAATTTTTCCCACCAAAATGCAAACATTGGTAGAACTTGAAAGTGAAATTTTTCAGAAGAAAGTATTTGATGGAGCCCAATTAGTGGATGAATTTAAAGGCAATGAGTCCACGTGGTGGAAACAAATTTGCAGTTTCATATCCCTAAAACCCGGGACCATACAAATATTAGGATAAAGGGATATGAAGCTCGAGGGAGTATTACGTGGGTTCACGCTTGCTCTGCCTGTCAACATGTGTATTACTAGCACACTTCTAAGTTTGCTCGCCATATATATATATATATAACTCAGAGGTGCAGACAGCAAACTGACTTAATGTTCCCTTCTTGCGATATGCCTGAGGCCAAATTGATCTTGCCATGTTTATTAATTTCATAATATATGATGAAAACTGAGGTGCCTTCCAAATCGTATGTATCAGATTGGTTAATCCCGTCCGGTATTCACAATGCAAAACAGTATATTCCGACCTAGAGCTGCCATCTTTTTGTAATGGTTGAGGCTCGACTCCGCAATATTCCTGAATTCAACACTGGCTTCAACTCGGCTGTTTAGGGTTCATTCATAACAAGGAAGCGAATGGCTTACACCCCGACGATGAACAGCGGGACCCCGTACTGTAAGGAATGGTTGTACAAGGCAACCTGCAGACAAAATCGTGCTGACCTATACAATAGAATTGTGAAAGCATTGTTTCTCTTGTGCGACCAGTACTCTCATATTTGTGGAAACGGCGATGCTTTCCCTAGAAAGGACGGTTTAGAAAATGTCAACCTTAAATACCGTGGTCTCTAGATGCCCAGCGGCTGACTGTGATCGCCGGCGCATTAGTCAGTATGGTGGGAAAACTGTTAAAATTAGAGGACTTATTCCTCTTTAGAAAGCTTTTGCAGCGAGCAACGGCACTACAGTTCATGCATGCATCGGGCTGGACAGGTTCCATGCAATTAAGTGCGCCAGAGTATTGGGTCATGGGGCTCCGAGAATGATTCCTCAAGAAAACTCTTACAAGCGCTAGCTAATGGTTCACAATTTTGAATCCGAACGCAAAGAAAAAAGCACCAGGCAATACTCGACATACTGCTACTACCTTGTGGGTTGAACTATTGAGAAAAGGGTTCGAGGTGGGTACCTCAACCAAACCACTTTTTTCAGCCTGGACAACCAAGTAATATTGCTCTCTCTTGAAGTTCTTCGTTCAGTGGCCTACATCTATCGTATACTCTATTGTGGTCAAACCATCCACTAGTCCCCTAACCACTGTATTAACTATCGCACAGAAAAATAAAACGAAATAGTCTCTTACAAATCTTCAAATATTTGATGCATGCTGCAGTTAAATAGAACAAAGGGTTTCTCTTGCTGAAACGTTGCTTCCCCTTTCTGTTGATGCACGAAGTATAAAAGACCCCACGTCAACGGCACAGGTCATGTTGCTTAGGATGAGCTCAGAAGTACGTTTCTGTTATCTGGCAGTTTTGACGCAATGGCTCATGAAATCAACGCTGTGGGATTTGCACTAAACCACAAGGCCGAAAGTGCTTTACCAGACAGGATCTAAATATGCAGTTGCATCTGCGCTGTGTGGTTGTCTGCATCACTTAAGATCAACGTAGATCGATGCGATAGATGGCGTTTATTTGTTATTTCAGCATGCGTCTAACGGACTGCAGTTCTGAATCTGTAAAGGACGGGTTTTACCAAGATCTGTCGTGACTGCTTCGGTTAGTAAGAAGAATGGATATAATGAGTCTGGTGGATGGTGTGGAAGGCAAAGTTATACTACTGAGCACGGAAGGAGCACAGTTAGGTGGTAGATTTGGAGTCTGTATTCAGCTTATGGATAACGGGAAGCGACTTCTTTAGTTGTATGCGGAACATCGTCTGTTTCTGGTCGGTATAGCATTCAACACAAGATTTCACACCTTATAACTTAAAAGCTACAATGCGCAAACCAGTCTTGGATTCAGCTACACCTTGTGCCGGTCAGTTACCAAAGCAGAGCTTCAGTTAGAGATTGCTGTTCCTCCTGGACTGTGCAACTTTACTGCAGTCCCTTCATTGTGAGGGTCCGGCTATCACTTCACCTTCAGTTAGGGTTATGCATGCCAAAGCAGAGCGAGTCCGTTCGCCGACATCAACTGGTTTCGGTAGCCAAACGATATACATGGCCGACCTGACGCATGGTCGTGCTGATGAAGGAGATTGAAGGCTGAATTGACGCAAGTCAAGGAAGCTATGCTCCTAAATTTTATAACTTTTTGTCCAGACCATCCGACTCAACTAAATGAGCGGTGGATATCACCAAGGTCAGTAAATCTCACTGCTGCCAGAATGTCATAACAGAAACTGGCGGCTACGATGACGTGCTCAGTTCCATCGAACGCCTTATGTTCAAGAGCAGGAAGAACGTTTGAGGATTCTAGTGGTGTGAAGAGACCAAGGAACAATAGAAGACTTAATGAATATAATAGCTGTATCCTGTTTCAGCTCACCTGATCACGCGGCCGTACTACGTTACATAATTTTTTTGGTTACCTTACTCTAACTTTCGCTGGCTAGTTTTATGAAACTGATAATGTTGCAAACAGCGGTTAACCTCTAAAATACTGTGTACTCACGGTTAGCCTAACCGAAACAGTAAAACAACCCAGTATTGAGCGAACTCTTTTTCCCAACTCTCATCTGCTGCAAAACGTGTAGAACAAAGTAAGATAGACAGTAGCAAAGTGCAGCCTCAGAAAGGAGCCTAACATGACAGTCAGTAAAACAGTGGAAGTCTTGGGCTAATGCTGAATTCATTCTGAGCACAGAGCAATGCCTTTGATCAATTAATCAATAATGTCTTGAGAAACTTGGGTCGCTTACGCTGATGATGGCTGAATTTCGGTACCGCACCTGGTTGTATGCTACTTCTTCGCAATCGATGAAAAGAACATTTTGTTGGTTGAACCCAATTCGCTACTCGCGTCACGAAGTAGTATAGTAATTCGCTTAGGGAAGTTTTTTCCGGTTCTATCCGTTCTCCCACCGCATCCACGGACGTGCCAATGAATACAACGGTCGGTAAATAAAGGTAATTTTAACGCTTTGATCTGTGAGATTAGGACTGAGTTGCATAGCAGTGGTAAAGTAGCCTATGTAGCCGATGTAAGGATGTTCACGGATGACCGACTTCCTTGAGGCGATCAGTTCTGAGACGAATTTGTCACATGAACTTGTGTGTGTTACTCAGAAATACTATAAGGGAAATTTTCGAAATTTACTACACGTTTGACCAACCGACTTTCAGCATTGACCAGATTCAGTGCAAAAGTTAGCCTGGGTGTGCACAGCGAACGTCTCCAACAATCTGGACAGGAAAAGAAATTTATTTACCATCACTTTGACGTAAATTTACGGCAAACAGGACGTTGCCACCTAAAAAATAACACACTACTCACAAGGTTACTGCAAAACTCAGGCCAGTTTGAAAACACATGCCGCACCGAGTCATCGAACTCCGATTGCAATTGTTTCCACAGCTTTTTAAGTTACAACCAAGAAAAGGTTTGTCATTTCACCAGGAATTCGGTTACCACTGCACACTATCAGAAGCTACGGACAAATTGTTAAAAAATTGACAAAGTCGGGGGCCAGTAGGCAGAACTCGAACTGATGGATTCCATATTGATAATTACAGGGTGCTGTTACTGTTTCCGTTGAATTCTAAAGTGCAGTTTGATGCGCGTAAACCAGACTAGTCTGTTCAACAGATCTCCCCCTAAGTGGTATGAGGCGCCTTCTCACATGCCAAAGCTAGACCACGATTGCTGACAAGATACAACGAATCTCAATCAATCTTTCCATAGCACTCACGTCCTACAAGGGAGACTCGATTGCTTTTAATCGTAATGGAATATCCGGGTAACTTCAGAGGCCCATAATCACAGTATTGATTAAAAGAGACCCTACAAGCTCCAGTCCCAACTAAAAATTTGGTGTACCAGGGCCATTGATGGACCGGATCTGCGAGATGAACATGTTTAACCTTGTGCCGATAGACATTACCAAGTTCACTGGTCTAGCCACAACGAGCCATCAAATGAATCGGAAGACCAGATACTTTCGTCGATTTTTTGGTGGGGGGTATTTAGTGATTGACAGATTAGCCCGAAAGTGCAGGCGTCATATAAGCGGGCAAATGAACCAAGGACAAAAAATAGCACTCGGACATCTGGACGGCCGCTAAAGAATACTCCAGATTACTTGAGATCACGTGTGACATGAGGAAAAATGAGCCCTATAGAAACTTTCAAACTGCTGAGGTTCACGTTGACAAGTTAGCTGAGATTTCGGGAGCTTTGCCCGTTTGATGATTCCTAGAGAGGTGTAACCGGTGGATTTCTGGAAATCATCCCGCTGCTTATCAAGCGAATAAAATGGACTACTTAAACAGCACTTAGTAGACAAACGGCCCCAACTCTGCCAGGCCGTTAGCACAAACACCATTTTCGTAAAATAAGCAACTTTTCAGTTGGATTACTCTGATTAAGTTAACGTAAGAAGGAATGCTCTCTCACTAAAGGTCAAGCTCACCTGATATCTTGAAGTGTATTTCAGTGGTCAAGTCCCCCAGAAGCGATCATCTGGTAAAGTACTCCCTGGGATGGTCTATACAGGTGGATCTACCGTGCTAATAATTATTCGCTTTGATCTAGTTAGTGGTGTACATAGTAAATCGCACGGTGATGATCTATGTCAAGCTGGATACGTTCACTAACCACTAAGAAGACGGAACGTAAATGCCTTATTTTTATGGCAACATGTTCATGTTGACTGCTTTTTATTTCGTCATAACTAGATGACTTGCCACAGGACCACATTGTTCCCTCAAAGCGAATCCAATTAATTTTTTAGCGAGTTATGTGTCAAAACCTGCCGGTAGGAAATTTTCAAAGTCCTAAAACTTAGCAGCAGTATATATATCGGCAAATTTCTCTATGGTGTCAAAAATTGTTAGCTCTATTTGCCATTGATCAAATGGCTTGCCAGTTGCCACGCTCGTCGAAAAAATCAACAGACACCTGATCGAGGCCCACTCAAGGTAACTACTGCAAAAACTCACCAGCTTAGGACAATGAAACGAATGCTGTAAGAAACATTAAATCGCAACCAACCATTGCATCAAGAAAGCAATAATTATAGTCGTTCCATTTCTTCAAATGTTGCCTGACAGGATTCCACGGACAGCTTTTATCCTAATCATGTTTAGGATTAAAGGTTTTCTGATTTTAAACCAAAGCGAAGTTGCGTTGACTGACACCTATTTTTCAGTTTGCTTTAGGGGCTATAGAGCATCAGTGATGTGGTTGTTTCTAACGGTGATGATGAGTGGTCTTCATCTTGCCTTTCACTGAATCAATATTTCGTTGTAAGCCGTCGGAATAGTTCCGTAATCAATACCCCAAACCTAACTTGCCAAATGCTTCACCATTAGAACTGTACACTTGTTCCAACACAGTCAACACGACTACGGGGATAAGTAGAGTTTATAGGAGCCCGACCTCGACATCGCCGCAGCCAATGAACGATAGTCAGAATAGTCAAAGATAGCCAAAGATAGTCAGTCCCGGAAAGAGTGATGTCGAAAGATAATGGCCATGTTTGGCTCAGGCATTGCAGACAGTCTGTGGACACGCAAAGGCTATGAATGCCAAGTGGTTGTTTATGGAATCCGTGGTTTTGGAGTCACTTCTCGATTTGTAAAGGTCGGATGGTACAATCAAAAATGATTGCAGTTCGGACAACTTGCACCAATCGTGTGGTAATATCATCATTGTCAGCTGTAATAACCTCGTACTTGTCGTACGATGGTTGTAGCTGCCACAGTTTCGTGCACCGATGGTTCGGGGAGATGGCTTAGGAAGCTGCGCTTTAGAGGCGGGAGCTGATAAATTAGTGTGTAAATACAGCACTGTAGGTGGACTGTTAACTTGGGGGGGATTAGGAAGGGAGCTGTTCATTGAAGGTGATAACTTGGATACATGAGCGCCGTTGAAGGCGCGACTGAGCCATGTCCGACAACGTCTCTAACCATTGATATGGCCGAATTTGTTGCGTCCATGATTGCACACCAAAGTTTCCAGGGATATCGTTTTGATAAAACACCTGAAAAGAATAATGTCTACAGGTGTGTTTTCCATACGGAGGATCTTCGTTACAGCGTTTTAATAATGCATCTGAATAGCAGTTACTTTGTACCGTCGTTCACAGTTGTATCCTGCAAACATGGTGGAGCTGACACACTAACCCATACACGTAGCTTGGTTTCGAAGTTGGAAGGCATATGACCTGACTTCCATGTTCAAAATTCAGCTCCATAAGGAACACCTACAAGAGGGTTGATGTGAATGAGAGAAAATGTTAAGTGACACGGAAAGGCTATCGGCAGACTCAAAGCGATGTTGCTGAAAAATGTTAGTGGCGGTTTACACATTTTTCGTAGTCAAGAGGCGCGTGCTAATTGCAGAGTCTAAGAATGGTTTTGAACCGGATGTTGCTTTTTATCGGACTCTTTGTCTTACTCAACAGAAAGAGGAAATTAACTTAAAGAGATGATTTTCACACTTGTAAGCCTTATACAGTGTATAAAGAAGAAGGTAAAGTCAAAACACCTACAAAATTCCTGCCTTATATATCCATTTTTACCCAGCAAATCTGTGCTGCGCCTGTCACTCGACGAGTTCCACAAAGTTGATCAGGTGATTTGGTCCTTATCCCAGAAGTATGGGGAATCGTGCAGTTCAGTAAACGGAAGTAAAGTAAGTTGTGGAAAGGCGAACTCGATAGGCATGAGTCATTTTATCATCAAGAAGTATTCCCTTGGATTTGAATACACTCTTAAGGGAAAGAAATTTTTCAGGCCGTATTAAAATCTTGCGTTTTTTTAAAATTTTCTTGAGTACTAATTTGGAGCGACCATACTGGAAAAATCACAAACGAGAGATTCAGCTAGGTTCCAGGTGAGTCTCTCGCAAAACCAAATGAGTTTGCAAATAAGTGTATTTCGCTAACCATACTAGTCCTCCACTAAGCCAAACGACTGTTGATTTGACCGAGGATGACTACTGGATGCTCATGTAAACGTTTTCTTCAGCTATACACAATAGTTGCAACATATCCCCACGTGAAGTTACCACACCACGATTTGGCAGGTCATGTATTTGCTTTATAACGTTCCCACGATACCAGCGATTATGAGTGCGAAGTTTTTTCCTAAGATGTGGCTAGTCTCATCCTTTCTAAATCTTTCATAAACGCGCTCAACTTTCGTGTAGCTAGATCGGAATTCCGAGCGAACAGCCTGCCTTATTCGGTGTGACTGAGGAAATCTGTTAGTTTCACAACGGCTTGACAATGAAATCGGTTTGCTATATCCTGGTGAGTATAGTTTTAGAGGAAAGATCTGACCTGAAAGATAAGAATGCAATATTAAATTCTGTAGGCAATGAATCAGTCTGAAGCTGTGTTGTTTCAGGCTACCATTGGACTTGAGTAGTGTCACGGATACTACCGACAAACAACTGTTGTACTGCTTGATTTCAAGGAAGCTTTTGACTAAGGTCTAAGCAAAATAGTTTTGCACATATATTTGGACAGTGAAAGGAGTCCGTGCAGCTCGTACTATTTTTATTAAAATTTTTGGTAGAAGTAAGTTCAGAGCGAGCTGTTTCGAGGTTTTTCCATTGGTAGATTTGACCAGGATTGCATTGTACAGTATGAGTTTAGAAATCTAGCTATAGAAACTGTACATCAAGGAAGGTTAACTGACATCATCTAGGCAGAACACCACCAGTCCGCACAATGCACTCTTATTAGCAAGCATCTTGCAACTTTATGTTGTAAAGCTCCATTTCGCGACTTTCGATTCCTTTGTGTTTTTTTTCGGAACCTCAGAAGGAAAAGCATGAGTTTACTGTCCAGGTTTCGTAACTCGGTGGCCACATAACCTGTGATTGAATTGCGTCGGAGAAAGTCAATCCACGCAACACTGTTGTGCAAAATCAGGTGATTTATGATGTCAAAATAAATTTTGTTGAAGCTAGAGGTTTGTCTATGCAAGCCAACTTTAAGACCATTCCTGAAGGTTTGGCCGACATTTTTGTTTCATTGCCACAAAACAGAAAGGCTTTCTTGAATGTAACGGAACAATGTCTTAGAAAAAACCTTGACAAACACTCTTAATACAGCTGAGTTGAGATTCATTTCACAGATGTTGCGTGTCAAGACAACGCCACACAGTAAACTCACTTCCGTCACCGGGAATCTCACACACATCTTTGTGCGGTCAGGTGTGACTGGGAATTCTGGGAATACGTACGTATGAACGTCAAAAATAGCTTATCGTATCCCCAATTCGGCTGCAAAATACCTTGTGCTCGTGGTTACTCAACTGGAGACAACTCAAATTCTTGGATTGTTTGTTGGCCGGAAGTTAAAACATTTGACCTTTTGCTGATAGCTTCCTTTCACGCGCCGCCGATGTGTTGCAGCTGAAGACGAATCGGGAGTAAAAGTGACAACCATCGTGGGGTGCATACCGACTACCGACCGTTCCAGAGTTCCGAATGTTGTAATCTACATATGGGGGTTTTGAGGGAGGTGTATTTTTCAGTTTCACATCACTCTCGTTTTTGAACAGCAGTCTCCCTGTCCTGGCGCAATTATTCATGTGAATCCACACCAAAGGGGGGAAGAAAGCACTGGACTCGAGTCGCGCTCTTGTTAGAGCTCATCAGCAGTGCATATCCGATGGCCGTGCAAGCGTTTGAACTCTGGACACCTGACATGCGAGGCGAACGTGTTACCACTATTCCACCAGCGCACGTGGGACGCATCTGAATTCTCACGTCTGAACGGGTGAACGTGTTCGCAGTTGAGTGATGTGATTAGTATGCCCGACACATTATCGATGCGACCACCCAGTAACTCTAACAAGAGCGAAACTCGAATCCCCCCTTTGATGTGAATTCACATGAATAATTGCGTCAGGACAGGAGGACCACTCTTCAAAACGAGAGTGACGTGAAACTAAACAATAATGTTGTCTGCTTGGGGTGTTTCATTCATTCACTTGCTTTCACGTACTGTTTCCACCCTTTTGCATATAAAACAGTGGAATTTATCACCATCACGGTAACATAAATACGGACAGATTTTTCGTGCTAAAAATATTGACTGGGTAATGAACCGATGTTCTATCATTTCGGTTCAATCTTCCCTTGATTCTCATTTTACAGCAGTCAGAGTTCAGGAGGATGAAACCTCGAAGCAACAATCCTGAGTTCGTCTAACAATTCTTCGCAGCTGAGTAAAGGGAGTGAGCAGACATTCAATATCCACTCAGGAGTTCATAGTCCCTTAGTGACCCCAGACATACGGTGATAAGCACGCCAAAAAAGTCCTTAGTTATTTCAAGTGCAGTTACTTATAATTTGGAACAAGGGATTGCTTTGCCCATGGACACAAGCATTAGTAGTTGCTGTTCACGCAGAAGGGATCTTTTTCTTTGAGCCGAATGCAAGTAGGTGATATTTTTTACACATTCTCCCCCACAAGAAAAGTAACACCCGCAATAGAGTTATTTTCACTGCTTTCTGTCATCTTTTTCTTATGAGAAGAATCCTTGTCTGAAATTCTGAAAACTTTTATCAATCGTTTTACATGTAAACAAAAAATAGATGGGCCAATGTTCCATTTATACGATTTCACCGTTCTCGTGTATAAAAGTCCACAAAATGACCTACGAATTTTCGCAATCGATTTTTACTGCCTGGCTTTCACTTGACTGAACTGTAGATCCGTGTTTCTTCCATATTCGATTCAGATTGGCTGTCAGTTCTCATCGGTTTCCCTCCTGGTTCCCCTCGATGATGTCTTTTTCACCGCAAACTCAAAAGCCTTTCGAAGTGGACTGTACGCTTGTCTGACAGACGGCACATCTTCCGAATGTACGCTTCGTCAAGTAAGAATATTTGGCTACTGTGTGATAAACGGATTATTCCGGCTTTGAAATTTGGCGTTTTGCAGCATGATCGCTTCACGTCACGTCTTCAGTCTGAAAAGTTTTGCCATGGAATGAGGCCGTTTACTGCTTCTTCCTGTTTGACCAGAATAAATCCGGGACCGGGATCTGGCTTGTTTGATGATAAAGCACCGATTTCCTAATGCACAGTTTGGAAACTAAATGATTACAACACCTGCTTTTGGCCATTTGATATCGTCCAGGATTTTATTTCGGACAAAAAGCCCCGCAATAACTGGGGTTCGGGATTTTCACGCCACAATATGAAGGAAAAAGTCGATGTGATAGTGACGGTGACAACAAAATAAAAAACAGGTTGAACGAGACTCTGGCTTTTCGGTTTCTGAAAGTGACGTTTTCTAAAACAACCATTGATTGACATTTTAGGTGGGGCACTAATAAACGAAGCACTATTGAAAGCTTTGATTTTGCCCTATTTTTTTTATCTTATCAAGGCTGCTGATTTGCGTGGACCACCAAAAACACACTGGAAAGATTTGGCGCACCGTCCTGTCACCGACTACTCTCAAGTGGTGGGGCTCGTCACCAGTAACCGGTATCTATACGTAGCAACCCGGTTTGGCAATAACAGTGGTTCGAAGAACGTTATTATGCGGATAGCCGCAGAATCAGAAACTTCATTGAAAGCATCAGGCCCGAAGATGATCGAAACTCCTGTTGGCTCCAACTGGATTATGCAGGATGGTAAGTGGGGCTCGCTTATTGGAGGAAATCTGCTCAAGTATGTCCACAATAGTCGCATAAGGAAACCATGCTTCTTTGCTTTGCTGCTTTCAGTGGATATTCTCGCTGATCCTGTCTCGTTATGGCACCTCATTAGAATCGCACCGGGAATTCTCTTTCTATCGAGTATACACGTTGCCTATCAGTAACGTAAAAGGCAGGCATCAGATCAAGGTACTGACGAATTTTGATGGAAGGACTCACTGTTACTGTCGTTGATGAAACTGTTGATGGGGATGGCGACAGGCAGAACGGTGAAAACAGTTACTACGATAACGATTACTAAGACACTGATGACAGCCATGTCTACGGTTACAATTCTAATGATGACGATTATGTTACTGATAACGATAATGATGATGGTGATGATGATGAGACCGGTACGTACACCTCCATCTCTGCAAGTAATTCCAATCTTATTCAGTCAAACATGCGAAGAAAAGTTAAAAGGATACTGGATCTACACCTGATGTTAATGTCGGTAGAAATTTTATTCACGTGGACATTATGCACACCTGTAATAAGAAAGATGTTCATACTAGCATTTTAGTAGATGTGACGCCTTGAAAAAGGATAGTACTTCTCCTTCTTGCTTATATGAGTTCGTAGTAGATGATGATAGCTGGTATCATAGACGGCTACCATCTGCCACATTTTCCCACTCCAAACTCAGCCATCAAAGAACATTGGTGAGCTTAATCCTCGCTTTTCCGTGGCAAAAGATAGCGACAGCGACAGTTCAATTTATATCTTTCTAAATGAATTCACCTAGGACTCACCTCTTCTACCGTAAACTCTGTCAGAACGCTTAAAAAAAACCTCATCGCGCACCAAATGGTGGCAAACAGCATAAATGGTTTGGTGACTCTAATAATGCGGATCGGTCCGGGCACTCATTCAGCCAAGACTATTAGCAGGGGCAACCTCGTGACAGTCATTTGAAAGCAAAAAGATTAATGAACGTTTTGGCCGATTATTAGAGAACGGTGTGGAAATAGTGTACACCAACTTGACGAGATATACTACTCACGGACTACTGAAAACTGGGCTTCATTCCTCTCGAGGTTCAGTCTGCAGGCAAAGTTCCTGACTTTTCGCCAAGTTTATATCTTATTGTAGAACCAATTAAGCGTAGTTTGCAACATGAACTTTTTTAAACATTAAATTAGTTTTAACAAGGATCACTCGCTGGTTTACTCGCTTATGATATCCTCTAACTGAATGTTCTTACAAAGGCTGTTTTACGTCTCAGTTGGTATAATTTTTGGAATTTTGTGGTGTATTTTACTGGCGGAACAAATTAAATAAATAAAGTGAAGATCAATCAATCCACACTCTAGAGCCAGACTAATCCGGTAACCCAAACCCTGTGTTGCTTGACAAAGTGTACAAACACCCCTGAAAGTGACGTCATTGTCCGTTTGTAAAAGCGTTTGTAGACATGAAGACTATTTCTCTTTCGAAAAAGCTTATTCGTGCGTATATTTCCTCCTAAGTTATGTAAAACTGATCATCAGATACTCTAGGTGGCTGTGGCAAAGGCACCGAAACTCACCCGGATTAGTTTCTGCCGGGACACAACTGTCTCATGGCTTTTTGATACATCCGAAGGATTCATTCAATATTTGGTTAAAAACACAGATTCTGTCAGTTGGGCTTCCAGTTCGACAGTTGACTGAATGAAATAGAAAGTGGGGTACTTTATAGCTATGTTTTCATCCATAGTCAGCGCTGCCGTCTAGTTGAGCGCGACCTTGTAGCTCTGCCTCGGGTGTTTACAAGGGAACTTTGCACTTTGCGCCTGTAAACCAAGTGATCAGAAAGACCCGATTATCCCTCGGGTCACCTGTTGGTTGAGGGTGTGAACTCAGCGCACCGTTTTAACTTTGTTTGGTTTGGTTGACACTGGATAAGTTACCCGTTGCCAGCATTCCTCGCCTTCGGCAATGGAGAATATCCTCAAAAAGCATAACACCAGCTACCTGGATGCATTGGCTTGGATCTAGCTTAGCGTACCTCTTTAGAAATTCCTTCTTTGCTGCAGTTCTGCTGATAGATACCTAGAGTCCGCCCACAATAGTGCTCAGTTCTCTCTTAGATGGAGAGATTTCCGGAACGCTTATAGGAACTTGTCCAGGGACTGTGCAGTGGCAAGTTATGAAATATATATATATATATATATATATATATATATATCATTTGATGGATGAACACGAATGTAACGCAAAATCAAAATGTGTTTTCAAGTCAAGGCTTTCTTGTAATGCGGCCCGATGAAAGTCTACTAAGGCATTTCCTCAAGAAAGAAATAAACCAAAACGAGTCAAAAGGATAGTGGTTGTTGGTCGCGAGCCTCAAATCCAAGTAAGTTGGTTGCACGTTTGTTGTTCTCTGTCCGCTTAGTCGTCACCTTCGTTCAAAACAACTCACTCGCACGAGCCTCATAAGTTTTCATACTGAGCTTGGGACAGTCGCTTTCCTTACCTTACAGTGTAAGCGTACCTACGTTTTCTCCCTACTTTCAAATTTGTTCGATTTATCGATGGGTGAAAGGCCCAATCTCTAACGCTCTTCTTTAAAAGTATGACCCCAAAGTATTGCCGTATTGTGTGCACCGTCCACACACACATCACTGAAATCTGAGGAATTCTAGTATGCTTATAGGTGCGCGGGTTCTACGCCTAAATCTGCGATATTGTTCTGCTTTGTGTGGCTTCAGAGCTGAAGGGAAATAGTCCAATAATCGGGACTGTTTAATGTGTAAACGGAGACCTACAAAACTTTGACTGAGGTTATTCATCTGGATCTCTTTTAAACAATTGACTGGTAGGTATTTACTTCCTTGATCCCACAGAAGAAGTGAATGCCGTCTGGCTGGCTCCATAAGTTGACATGTGAATGCCGAACACAAGCAAAATCTTACCAACATCTTCTTTTGATTATTTTTTGGTATTTTGTGAACTGCGGCACTCGCTCAGAATTCTACTGGGCATTACTTACTCGCTGCACTCTGATCTACCCAAATTTATGTAAGCGCCTAAGATGCACTTCAAGCTTAAGCCAGTTTCGTGTGAGCATTTTCTTATTGCAGCTCCATTGGCGCTACTGTTGAAAGAAAGGGGGTCTTTGCTGCGGGTTATTTATTAGAAAATGCTAACTGACCAGTTACAGACTAGTGGCCAGGGGAGCAAAACTCACATTTGCATCTTATTTATTAAAGCTGAACATCCATCTTCTGCTGGTCACGTCTTCTTGAAATTTCCTGGATATCCATTGACTCCAATCATTCATTGCTCAAATCCACGCAAATGCTACAAAGCGACTCCACGAATTCCGCAACAGATCTCCCTTTTCAAGAGACGCAGAGCAAATTTACAAGAAGAAAACATACTACTCGCATGCCTCCTCATCAGTAGTATCACCGTTACACTGTATTCGTTACGCTGTACTGTGACGGCTGGTCATTGGCTTGTTTGCTGAGCTGGGCAACTTGATTGCAAACGTTTCATCACCAATCGAGATGACATCATCAGTGCGTTATTGGGGAGCGTAGTAGTGCGTAATGGTAGGTTAGTGGTTACAGTTCACGAACACTAACCCACCGCTACGCACAACTACCCTATCCAATAACGCACTGATGATGTCACCTCGATTATTGATGAAACGTTTGCAATCAAATTGCCCAGCTCAGTGGACAAGCCAACGACCATCTACGCTACCTGAGCTACCGACATTTTCCTCTATAGAAAACATGTTAACGTGGCTCGACCTGATTTGAGCTGACAGTACACAAGCTCAAATGACACTAGCGGGGATTTGAAATGCGAAATCTCAGTTTTTCATCCTGTTCACTCCTTCAACTATTTATTTTGACGAAACGTTAGAATTCTTTGGGAGTAATATCAAACCTATCCAATTTTGTATGGTCCACCAGGGGATGCTTAATTGTGATTCTATTCTCTTCCCTTCTTGTTTCATATGTATTGTGAGCGACTGACGTTAGTAATCGAACTGAACTGATTCAGTTCTTCTCATGAGTCCGCAGTGGACTCATACCGTTGCTTCGACTGACTCTTCCTGGCTGTCAAAGGTGTACTGAACCCCATTTAACGTTACATTACCTGCAGGTAGTATCAGGTATCTTTCCCCAAGAAGACGTCAGATGATCACGCTTGAATGTTACNCGGAACAAATTAAATAAATAAAGTGAAGATCAATCAATCCACTCTCTAGAGCCAGACTAATCCGGTAACCCAAACCCTGTGTTGCTTGACAAAGTGTACAAACACCCCTGAAAGTGACGTCATTGTCCGTTTGTAAAAGCGTTTGTAGACATGAAGACTATTTCTCTTTCGAAAAAGCTTATTCGTGCGTATATTTCCTCCTAAGTTATGTAAAACTGATCATCAGATACTCTAGGTGGCTGTGGCAAAGGCACCGAAACTCACCCGGATTAGTTTCTGCCGGGACACAACTGTCTCATGGCTTTTTGATACATCCGAAGGATTCATTCAATATTTGGTTAAAAACACAGATTCTGTCAGTTGGGCTTCCAGTTCGACAGTTGACTGAATGAAATAGAAAGTGGGGTACTTTATAGCTATGTTTTCATCCATAGTCAGCGCTGCCGTCTAGTTGAGCGCGACCTTGTAGCTCTGCCTCGGGTGTTTACAAGGGAACTTTGCACTTTGCGCCTGTAAACCAAGTGATCAGAAAGACCCGATTATCCCTCGGGTCACCTGTTGGTTGAGGGTGTGAACTCAGCGCACCGTTTTAACTTTGTTTGGTTTGGTTGACACTGGATAAGTTACCCGTTGCCAGCATTCCTCGCCTTCGGCAATGGAGAATATCCTCAAAAAGCATAACACCAGCTACCTGGATGCATTGGCTTGGATCTAGCCTAGCGTACCTCTTTAGAAATTCCTTCTTTGCTGCAGTTCTGCTGATAGATACCTAGAGTCCGCCCACAATAGTGCTCAGTTCTCTCTTAGATGGAGAGATTTCCGGAACGCTTATAGGAACTTGTCCAGGGACTGTGCAGTGGCAAGTTATGAAATATATATATATATATATATATATATATATATATCATTTGATGGATGAACACGAATGTAACGCAAAATCAAAATGTGTTTTCAAGTCAAGGCTTTCTTGTAATGCGGCCCGATGAAAGTCTACTAAGGCATTTCCTCAAGAAAGAAATAAACCAAAACGAGTCAAAAGGATAGTGGTTGTTGGTCGCGAGCCTCAAATCCAAGTAAGTTGGTTGCACGTTTGTTGTTCTCTGTCCGCTTAGTCGTCACCTTCGTTCAAAACAACTCACTCGCACGAGCCTCATAAGTTTTCATACTGAGCTTGGGACAGTCGCTTTCCTTACCTTACAGTGTAAGCGTACCTACGTTTTCTCCCTACTTTCAAATTTGTTCGATTTATCGATGGATGAAAGGCCCAATCTCTAACGCTCTTCTTTAAAAGTATGACCCCAAAGTATTGCCGTATTGTGTGCACCGTCCACACACACATCACTGAAATCTGAGGAATTCTAGTATGCTTATAGGTGCGCGGGTTCTACGCCTAAATCTGCGATATTGTTCTGCTTTGTGTGGCTTCAGAGCTGAAGGGAAATAGTCCAATAATCGGGACTGTTTAATGTGTAAACGGAGACCTACAAAACTTTGACTGAGGTTATTCATCTGGATCTCTTTTAAACAATTGACTGGTAGGTATTTACTTCCTTGATCCCACAGAAGAAGTGAATGCCGTCTGGCTGGCTCCATAAGTTGACATGTGAATGCCGAACACAAGCAAAATCTTACCAACATCTTCTTTTGATTATTTTTTGGTATTTTGTGAACTGCGGCACTCGCTCAGAATTCTACTGGGCATTACTTACTCGCTGCACTCTGATCTACCCAAATTTATGTAAGCGCCTAAGATGCACTTCAAGCTTAAGCCAGTTTCGTGTGAGCATTTTCTTATTGCAGCTCCATTGGCGCTACTGTTGAAAGAAAGGGGGTCTTTGCTGCGGGTTATTTATTAGAAAATGCTAACTGACCAGTTACAGACTAGTGGCCAGGGGAGCAAAACTCACATTTGCATCTTATTTATTAAAGCTGAACATCCATCTTCTGCTGGTCACGTCTTCTTGAAATTTCCTGGATATCCATTGACTCCAATCATTCATTGCTCAAATCCACGCAAATGCTACAAAGCGACTCCACGAATTCCGCAACAGATCTCTCTTTTCAAGAGACGCAGAGCAAATTTACAAGAATAAAACATACTACCCGAATGCCTCCTCATCAGTAGTATCACCGTTACACTGTATTCGTTCCGCTGTACTGTGACGGCTGGGAATTTAGCAACACACATATTAACGTGGTCGTTGGCTTGTTTGCTAAGCTGGGCAACTTGATTGCAAACGTTTCTCCACCGACCATCTACGCTCCCTGAGCTACCGACATTTTCCTCTACAGAAAACATATTAACGTGGCTCGACCTGATTTGGGCTGACAGTACACAAGCTCAAATGACACTAGCGGGGATTTGAAATGCGAAATCTCAGTTTTTCATCCTGTTCACTCCTTCAACTATTTATTTTGACGAAACGTTAGAATTCTTTGGGAGTAATATCAAACCTATCCAATTTTGTATGGTCCACCAGGGGATGCTTAATTGTGATTCTATTCTCTTCCCTTCTTGTTTCATATGTATTGTGAGCGACTGACGTTAGTAATCGAACTGAACTGATTCAGTTCTTCTCATGAGTCCGCAGTGGACTCATACCGTTGCTTCGACTGACTCTTCCTGGCTGTCAAAGGTGTACTGAACCCCATTTAACGTTACATTACCTGCAGGTAGTATCAGGTATCTTTCCCCAAGAAGACGTCAGATGATCACGCTTGAATGTTATCTCACGTATCTGCCTAACTAGCGCCTACCACTAGATTAGCTCGGGTCAGGCGCGTAGACCACCAGAGGTACTCAAATGAGCCATTTGATTCTCTGTATTTTCACAGAACGAACAGTCTTTGTTGGAGCCTTCGAGTTTCACAACGCCGTCTACTTTATCTTCCGCGAAACCGCTCATGAAGCACTTGAAAGTTGTCAAAGCCAAGTTAGTTTATCAAGCTTTTTGTTCGCTGTCTTCTGTAATCTAACCGGTGTAATTCTGGCTCGTGCTGAAATTAATTAGGTGGCATAACAAAGCCAATGCTTTTACGAAGGTTTTCGATAATTTACCGAGTCTGCCTTGAAAGAAATTCCAGGATATCAAAGTCTCGATTGGATAGGGGTGACAAAGGAAGTGTTTGGAATCTATCGGATGAGGTTTCATTGACTTTTTTCGAATATGGAATAGCCCTGCGCTTCTCCAGTCATATTGATGGTAGAAGACAGTCATGACAGAAGTAAAGATGAAACAGTTAAGAAAGTTTGATAACATGTTACTACTGTGTGAGGCCCGCCTTGCTAGACTGAAAAGCCAGCCACCACGCAAGGACGACCTGTCTGTCAATTCGTTCAGTTGATTAGTGTGAATCTTATTTACAAAAGAACGCTAACCATTGGACCATAACAAAAGGACACGGTTGCTCTGTTAACATTTGGATGTAAACAGTGTCGTGTCGGTGTTAGGGGTTATTGGGAAAATATTATAAAACCTCAAGATGGAGCCAAGCGACCGTTCACCACAGTAGCTAGTTTAAAGGAATCCAGAATGATTGTTTATGCTGTACTGAACAGCTCTTGTGACCGCTCGGTAAATGCCATCCATTTCTCCATTTATGCATCCATTTTTACCCTAACACCATTTACGCCGCCCCTAAACGCAAACAGTTTACGCGTTATGACCGTATGCGAAGGCATATCCACGGCATGCTGCCCCTAATCGCAAACAGCTCACGCGTTATGGCTGTATGCGAAGGTATATACACGGCCCATTCATCTGTCACCAATCACCATATCAGTGCTCTTTCGCTCACTGTTCTGTTCACCACTGTATCTTGTCGGCATATTTAAGTTAGGATATCTTCACCAGAACTGTGTCGCTGTAATAAGTATCCTTGGTGCCCTCAGTAGACCTCAGTCCACGCAATCCAAGGCATTCCAGTACCTCGACAAACACACTCATTTGCAAATTAATTTTGTTTTCACGACAGATTCAACGGAATCTCTCATTTATGATATTCTACAACTGAATGTGCTGCACACAGGCCGCCTCGTGTTTCAGTTGGAGCGATATTTGAGATATCGCAGTATATTTTCGTTAAGGAAACTGCTCAAGTTTGCTGAAAAATCGTCGACGTCCCACGACCCGTTTCACCCTTCTTTGAGCTCATCATAAACGAGAGATTCACTCAAGTCTCCCGTGAATTCCAAATTTACTTGTAAATGAGTGAACCTCTCGAAAACAGTCCAATTTGGGTTCAAGTAGAACATAAGGTTGACGAAAACTCGGAGACCGAGCCCACCCGATGAGCCTCAAGAAAAGCGAAACCGGTCGTGGGCTGTCAAAGAGTTTTCAGCAACCTTGTGAGTACATTCCAATACCTGTTTAAACGGACGAAAAGGCCCTCATCCTAAGCATATAAATTAAACCGAAGGTGATTCTAGTTTTTCAGGATCGTATAACGTGCGAAACGTCACCAATCGCTCCGAAATTTATTATCTGTCTCAAAAAGTTTAGGTTGTAGGGCGAACTGAGGCCGAGCCCTACTGGGATCTAAGAGTAAATTGCCGCGTGAGCTCCAGCCGGGATATGCGATGCTCAATGATTCAACCAATGAGGTCAAGACTGTAGTGTTTTCAGCCGTGATCATCTCTCAGTAGCTTAGTTCAGTCATCTGAAGGATCTGTTGCTGTTGGAAACAGATGAGGACATCACTTGTACCCAAAGGGGTGTGTTATTAGACGCCAGATGCGCAGAGGCGAAAGGTGCTAACTGGCAATGTTTCCGTGAGCGTGTTTCTAGATGTTTACTTTAAGTGGAGCTTCAGGAAAACTCACTACAGCATAACGAGAAAAAATAGCGTTGCCAAGAAAATACCAAATAAAAAGCACTTCGCATATAACAGGTCCCGAGCCGCTGTCTTCAAGTCTCTAGCGGAAAGTAGTGTTTCCAATTTTTTCACAAACTGGTCTGTCAGTGTGCGTTCGAGAACATCAAGCGAGCGTAAAAATGCTCGGAAAGCTGTCCTACTGACTGGAATCACTACTTGTAGCTACTGATATTCAGTGAAATCCATCCTTTACCATTAGCATGGCTTGTTACATCATATCATGGTAAAAGAGTAAAGAATCTGTGATAAGCGAAGTTATACCAAATGGTTTTCAATCGATCGATGACCACGTCGATGGCTGATGCAATGTACACTTAGTTATTGATTTTCGGTGACGAACGTGCTGGAAAGTGAAATTCGATTAAAACAGCTACCGCACTGAGAGGATCATCTTTTTATTCATTATTATTTAGTTACCAGTTATTCCTACGCCTATATGAAACCTGGCGTCACCGTGAAAAAAATTTTCTACAGCTGAAAACCGGTGGGTCATGAAATTTAGGAAAAGAAAGTTTTCGTAATTGTTTTTGTAAGTGTGAAAGCCTCGCAAACTTTGGGTGAAAAACGATAACGTATACGCAAACCGCAAAAGAGCAAAATTTTCGGAAATGTTTCATAAACAAGAGTAAAATGGAACATAATTTGATAACTGATGCAAGTTTGAATGTTTGAGTTGAACTGGGATCAAAGAAATGACATGTCCCCTAATTACACCATCCAAATAAGATTTCTTTCCTTGCGAGCTGTTTCACATGAAACGAAAATATAGATATACTTTTTTTCCATTTTGTATTCATAGGTTACTGTATCCCGAATTGGGAGAGTGTGCCTGGTGAGTCCTCCCCCATCAACTCTTAAGTTTATCCAACGTGACACAAATCGAAATTGACCCGAGTGCATTTTGTTACAATACTTACAGTCTGATAATGGTGGACCGCGGAAGAAATTGGAGAGTTTCACAAAAGCTACTCTCGTTTGTCCCAGTGAGAACAATGCAGACGGAGAGTCGACAGCCTTCATTTTCAATGAGGTTCAATCGGTACAGGTCGATCAAGGCACCAAGACACTGTTTGCGGCTTTCACAACTTCAAGGTAACCGGGAGTTTATTGGAGAATTTCGTCTCTTTAGGGTATCAAATATTGTACAGATGCTGTTGGAAATTTTCAGATTCAAAGTTACAGATTCCTAAACTATGGATTTTTTCCCGTACATGTTGCATGTTCTTGAGGAACCCACGGCTTACTCGGAAGCATGGTATTGGAAGTTGAAAAGAGAAGTGCTAAGCAGGTGCACTGTTAAGTAGCAATTCTTTGACTGGTTTGCTTCACGACGAAGCCTAATGGGTTGCAGTGAGGCCGATATGGGTAATAGGGCAAAGTGTGTTACTCAGCTCAAAGGATCGGTGGTAGAGCCCAACCATGTGTGGAATGCAGTCCGCTGTGCATGAGTGTACTCATCACAAGCATGTCTTTAAAAAATGCCAACTGACCAGTTACAGACTATTGGACAGGGAAGCAAAACTTTCATATGCATCTTGTTTACAAAAATTGAATATCCACCTTCTCGTTGAACGCGTCTTCCTGAACTTTCCTAGATATTCATTGACTGTTGCTCAAATCCAAGCAAATGCTACAAAGCGACTCGACAAATTCCGCAATAGATCTCCAATTTCAAGAGACGCGAAGCGAATGTACAAGAAGAAAACATACTACTCACATGCCCTGCCCATCAGTAGCATCACCGTTACACTAGTGTCTTTCCATGAAGTCGCTTGATACGGTCAATATACTACCAGTAGGATTTTGAATTTGTCCAGCAGTACCGAACAAGTATTATCCAAGTTTGGAATTGTGTTTGATGCGCTTGGACTAGCCATAGAAAGCGGTAATTAGCACTCGACTGGCAGACAAACGGAGTCATTCCGTCGAATAAGATTCGAAAGTCTTTTCTAGTAGCTTAGTTCAGCCTATTGGCTGCACTTTCCCGAAGTAGTTTCTTTATTCTTTAATTCTCATGGATTTACAGCGAAAATAATTCCATTCCGCCCACAAATTCAGGCCAAGTGAAGAACTGGCACAAATTCTGAGGAGGCACCTTCAGAAACGAGGGGCCCATAGAGCCTCAGTATGACGGTAGAGTTTGACTACAGACAAACCTATATCCGAATATCGTAGGAAGTCTGGGTAGATTCTGCGGTTTTAGTGATCTCTTTCTGTGAGTGGGGTCAATCCATCCTGAAAAGATGAGAAGTAGTTTGATTGGTCCATCCACCAGCAGCTGATCAGCAGTGCGGTTAGCTCGCACCTCGACAGGATAAAGCTCCATGGATCCTGTATCATTATTCTGGAACGTGCGATGTGTCAGTTTTTTTAAAGCCGTTTAGATCAATCCCCAAATGTATTCAACAGGAGGTCACATAATCTTGAGGTATTCGGTATTACCATTTTGTGAGCATGGTCTAAAAACAGTGACCGTGAGTTTCATTATCCAACGGACTCCTTCATGTATGCTTCTGGCAACAACGAAGTTGCACTTTTGAAGGTAACGTTGTCTATCTGGTGTGTGTGGTAGCTTTCGTTTACAAGTCTGAAGATAGTAAGTTCCGTTTTCCTTTAAAATTGTCTTTTGTCCTTATTTCTACGACGCAAGTTTCCCAATAACAGATGATGACGATTCAACTTCCTTATTGCATTGCACATGATAAACATTTTGAAAGATGCTACAACCATTTTTCCATGTTCAAGTTCCATCCCTCCAGGTTCCGTGGTGTGTGCCTACCGCCTTACCGACATCGAAGACGCCTTCAGAGGGCCGCTTCACTTGGCGAATGGACAAGCGACCAAATTCGAAAGTTCGGGTGATGTAAGTCTTGTAGAGAGCAGGAGCCTATCGTCCTTCCCTTTTTTTCCAGAATATTTTGATCAACAACCAACGAAGCAACCAAAAAGGTATTTTGTAACAGTACCAAACGCCTCACAGTGTTTGTCTCGATTAGGCCCGAAACGAGCAAAATCCGGAAACTTATTCAAGAAGTATTAACCAAACCTGTTAATGTCCTCGTGTGCCTTAAGGAATCTGAAACACTGAAGCGCACTGCTTAGAACCGAGCGTTGACACAGTTGACAGTAACTTATTATAAAACACCGATTGTGGAACACAGGTGGGGTTGTTCTTAGGGGACCAACAGAACGACCTTCAGTCAGCAGATGTTCTGCAATCGATTTTGCTGAGTTTCTGGCAGAGTGACAGTTAGGTATTTCACTGTGTAAGTCATGTTTTCTGGAAGCTGTTCCGTCGTTATTTTAGATAGATGGCTGTCTATTCTATCAGAAGGAGGGATATTTTCCTTCAGATTGACTAACTTGAATTCCCACTTACTTGCGCCGTAAGCAATGGCGTTTCTATCCAGCGTTCACAAATATATGATCATCCTTAATTGATACTTGTTGTATACCTCTATAAAGCCTGTGATGGGAACAGCATTCACCCTGTCTTCTTGAGGGTTGCATTTTCAACGAGGCGTTNGAGGCGTTCTGGGTAGCTGGAACTCCTCTTCCTGCGGTTCAGCACATGAATAGAAATTTCGTGCTCTAGGAACTAGTCCCTAAAGCTTTGTCTATCGTAAAACCGATAATCTGAAAGCAGTCAACGTTACCAAAGTCAACAATGAATATTCGCTGTGAACACAGGTATACGACGTTTCAGAAGAACATGTGGGACACCTGGGGAGTTGTTTTGACTAAATATCTGATCACACAAATCCAGTTGATGTAGAGCTGCGCTAGTAGGAATTAGGTGAACATCAGTACAAAACATCTCACTGATATCATATCCATGAGACCCGAGCATCGAGCCTATGCCTTATACTGACCCAAGAATCGGGAGCCTGCGCAAGAATTTACGTTCAGCCCGTACTTTCGGGCTTCCATATTTTTTACGTGAGCGTAGGGCGACCTCGTCTCACAGCATAAGTGTGTGGATAGTAGAGCTACCGTGCGAATCAAACGTGACAGAAGTAAATGAGTGGTTGACCGTGGTCTATCGCTGGCCATCTTGAACGTCTGAGATCGAGAACGCACTAAGTTTAGTTAATTGAATGAACACTTGTCAGTTTAACTAAGGCATCGTGAAAAGTAATAAAAACGACAAAGTATTCACTTTTACATGTTAGTTGGGACGTTACCTGTGGGAGATTTCAAATGGTCTCAGCAATTAGGTTCATCTTCACTAGCGAACTTGTCAAAAGTAGCCTATTACACGTTTTGCAACCGGGGGCAACAAATATTGTTTGCGCACTGGAAACGAATGACTTACACAGTGAAAAGATAATTTTACTTCGAGAAATACACTCATTCGCAAGTCAATTTGGTTTTCACGAGAGACTCAACTGAATCTCTGGTTTATGATGTTCTACAACTGAATGTCCTGCACACAGGCCGCCTCATGTTTCAGTTGACGCGATATTCGAGATATCGAAAAAAGTCCAATTTGGGTTCAAGTAGAACATAGGGTTGACGGAAACTCGGAGATTGCGCCTACCTGATAAGCCCGAAGAAGGACAAAACCGGTTGTGGGCTGTCGAAGAGTTTTCAGTAACCTTGTGGGTAGTTTCTTTTATGATAGTTTTTCTCCGTTTTTCTGCGTTGTATAATTTGAATATTTGATTCTCTCATACACCTTTGACAAACACTAACTATAGCTGCATTGCTGTGCTTTTGATTGGTCGTTAGCTGTTGTCATCCCAACTGTTCGCGAATCATTCTTCAAGTGAATACAGGTAACACTCTCTAAGCGAGACGATTCCATATATGGTTTTTCCCTAAATATTAAGAAAAATGATCGTGATTAGTGGAAATCAATGAAATCTCTCGCTTCGTTTTATCCTACCTGTCAGTTTTGCTGCCTGCAATTGATAGTTTGTGAAACTGTCAGAAATAAGGTTTTTTGCATATCCAAAGCGGAGCTATGGGTCAAAGCAAGGTCAAGTGGGATTTGTCGATGTGACAGAGTGGTATATTCACCATACTCATACCACAAAGTGTTGAAGACGATGACCTACTGACTACTCTAAATAAAAGGTATCGAAAAATACCTCTAAGGAGGTAAATCCTCTGTTTGATAGTGCGTGTCTCGTCTTTGGGTGATTTTTTTCTTGAAACACTTGAAACACTATTTCTCGACGTCCTCTGTTTGATAGTGCGTGTCTCGTCTTTGGGTGTTTTTTTTTCTTGAAACACTTGAAACACTATTTTCTCGAAGGAGGTGCTCTCAGTTGAGTAGTTCGCACAGTGGAGAGTACTATAGCTATTTCGAAACTTCATGCTCACAAATGTTGCTAGTTGATAAGGAGGACTCTAAGTGAAACTTGACGATAGATCCAGAATCGAGACTTTCTTGTCATCGCTTACTTGTGTTTTTACCGCCTATCTTAGTGCACCCGACCAAACATGAATGTGTTCTCCGCGCACCGTTTGATGTATCGCGTCATTAAACCACGACAAGGATATGCCATACTGAGGAAAGATGGAGTGCGGTGAGTTTGCTGGAATAGCATAGTAATTTGAAGGGTAATAGTTTTCAATTAGAAGTAATCAGGGTTATCGCTATCTGGTCTATCATTATTACAGCCACCCAGCAAGATTTCGAAGAAAGTGTTGATGAAAAATCTTTTCGAATAGAATAGATACACGGATGAAGCTCCAGACTACTCTAAAGTCACTGTGTATGCAGTTTGTGCCCGACCAAAGGTGGAACTGAGCTTTCGATAGAATGGCAAAGTAGAAGGCTGCTCATAGTTTTTGTTGTAGGTGGTTACGCGATTGGTAGTGTTCACTTTCCTTTGAGAGTCATCCTTCTATCTTCGCTAAATTATTCTGGTTGGTCCTCATCAAATACGGAGTTATCGGACTCGAGTTTCACGCTTAGAAGAGCCCACCAGTCGTGATGTGATTGACATGCCCAACCTAGCGACTGCCTTGGTTGTGGCTATCGACTGACCCACCTGTCAGGACTCGGAGTTGTCTCGAATTCAAACCCCGGCACAGTCAAGAATATTCACTGTTTATGAGCTTCCATACTCGTGAAACTCAAGTCCAGTGATTCTATTCATAGTTGGTGAAAGAATGAACCGCAAAAGAACTCGTAGTAGCGTTCAATATTGTTCATCTGTTTGCTGCTCCAATGTACTGCCCGCCTAGAAGAAACTTTGAGGCAAGTTTCATCGGCAGTGACAATAGGCGGTCATGCACCAAGTAATTACAGTGGCTCCTAAATCCCTCTGCTCTCTCGCCAGTCGGTGAAAGCCCGGGTCACCCACAAAACGATGCGAAAAATCGATAGTTCAAAGCCTATGCCCCGCAAAAGACGACGGTTCCAAGATGTGCATTTTCGGCCGATCCCAACATAGAAGTGGTTTTGGGGAACCTGCAGACTCAACAAAACAGTGCCCCTTTTAGGAAAGATTTCAGCCTCAGGGGACCTTATCTAGGGTCCTTCTGGGAAGCGTCCCAAATGACTACGGGAATTTCGGCGACAAGCTCAGTGGGGATTGATGATGTCTCTGAATGCATCATGCTGCCGATTAAACGATTTTGCTGTGCATGTGATATAGGAGTACAAAGGCACCGTGCGCCGATTTTTGATGGTCTTTCTGTCATTCTTTGTGTGTTCAGGCCTGCATGGCCGGTCTAATTTGTGCTGATTGGACGAGACTGACAAGCATACGGTCCCCAGGCTATGGGTGATACCAATTACTTGCAGCAACGATTGCCGCTAGATATATTTCTCATAAGTCCCGGACATTGAAGGTTCCATTGCTTGCTGACGACAGGGCTTTCTTCTGAACTTGGATGGGCAAACGAGTAGCCTCAATGAAGCAATGCACACCTGTGTCACACCATTCCTCAATGAAGGAAGTTTAGCTTGGTACTTTGAAGTCTTGCTTCATTCTGTAGACGTGCCACACTACTCATAAGTTCCTGAAAACCCATACGGTCCCCAGGCTATGGGTGATACCAATTACTTGCAGCAACGATTGCCGCTAGATATATTTCTCATAAGTCCCGGACATTGAAGGTTCCATTGCTTGCTGACGACAGGGCTTTCTTCTGAACTTGGATGGGCAAACGAGTAGCCTCAATGAAGCAATGCACACCTGTGTCACACCATTCCTCAATGAAGGAAGTTTAGCTTGGTACTTTGAAGTCTTGCTTCATTCTGTAGACGTGCCACACTACTCATAAGGTTCCTGAAAACTTAGATAGCCGATGACTGATTTCGCCCTGCTTGGGACCTATTAAATGGGCACTGCCCCCGAGTTTCTATCAATCTTACATTATGTTTGAGACCTAATTGCATGAAATTAGTGAATTATACTCACCACCATACCAATTCGGTTTTGACAGAAGACTCATGTGAAATCTAGCTAGACCCCTCATTTACGATGTCATTAAGCAACTGAAGGTCCTCCATCAGTTGGTACGATATTTGATAGGCTTTACCGACCTATTGCAATCTCTCGTTTACGATGTTTTTGAGAATATTGCTAATGAACATCATAAACGCGACAATCTACTGGGTTCCAGGTGCCCTCAAGACCAAATTGGTACGCAAAGGCGTATATTTCGCCTTCTTTCCTTGTGTTTAAAAGGCACTAGTGAACGTGAATCGAGGCGACAGCAGAGTGGCTCTAAGGATAGCGGATCTATGCCGACCTGAGCCAGAAAAACTGGGCTGCTTGTTGATGTGCAAATGCGTAGCCGTGAGGCTGGATTGTGTCCAGAATAGGGATGGAAAATGTATGGACGTTTTGCTGATGCAATAGTAAAAATCAAAACATATTTCACGACATTGGGGAGAGGGATTAGCACGAAGAAGCTAAACACAGAATACTAACATTTTTAGACATCACTTCTATACACAAACCGTAAGGAAGTTTGAATTGCAGCCTGTGAAATCCGGAATTGTTGCCCGAGACTGTTAGAAATGGCTCAGCTTATTACGCGGGAGACCCTGGTTGTACCTTTCGGGTGTATTCCTACTGTACTGTAGCCAAAATAAGGCTAAAGCGAAGGTCAAGCTACGAACTCAACAGTCGTTCTCGAAAATTTGTCATACCGTCCTAATGTATTTTTGAATCAGCATTGAGGTGTCAGATGCGCACAAGTATTTCTGTATGGTCCTTTTTGTTAGTTTGCAAATGCTTTTCAAACCAGAGCAATTTCGTCTTCGTGGGTGCGGAAAGAACTCGATTTTTGCGCACAACATAGGTAGGTACTCTGTTTAATTATCTGTTTCCAATGACTGAGGGACAAACCTATGTAGTGCTGGTTAGCGGATGGACAAGGTGAATTATGGAAGCTATTTGATATCCGAACAAAATTCAATATTGAAATGATACGTGCTGTTAACTACACTTGCCCCAGAAGTTTGTAACAATAATCCGATCCCTGTATCACCATACTTCTGGGTGGGTGATAGTATATGTTGGGGTCTCCAATAGCTTCCTTACAAAAATCAGTCAAGGATGTCTACTCTTTCCATTCTCATTCAACTTCGTGACTGATGACATAATGAGGTGAATGCGCAAATGCCTTCGAAACGCCGGTGTTCAAATTGATGCTGGTGAGAGCCTTGTCGATTTGGAGTACGCAGATGACATCGCCCTCATCATCGACTACGATGACTCGGTCATGTGCTACACATGCCGAAACACCGTTTAGCGAGGCGAGTGTTGTTCTCCGTGCCTCCTTCAGGATGGCGAAAACCGCGAGGTGGACAGCACATGACTTGGCAGAATGGTGTCAAAGGGATCACGAAGAGTTTGGGTGTTGTTGGTGTCGTACGCCTTGCAGGATGGAGTCACCACCGTCTGTGCGTGGCTAGAGACGCTAATCGATGTCAGTGGCGCACGTGCCGTCAATTTCTTTCGAGGCTGTCTGATTAGCGGTTGGAGGTGTATGCACCTCAGAATGCTTGACACAGGCCAGCACTAGGTCCTCTTCCTCACCCACTCTTTTTCTCCTCTTTTTACTCTAGGGCTTTTAATATACTTATATATATATATAT